TCGCGGGATTCGGCTCCTGAGACAATGGGAAGCCAAAGAGGCTTTCGTTTTGAGGGTTGATAAGGTCGAGCCAGCCAGAGGTCGCCTCGTCGGAAAAATGCTTTTCTATGGACACGCACTGCTCAACTGCAGCTGTCTCAGACTGGGCCTTTCCTTTTGATTCGGACTGCTCCACAGCAGTATCCGACTGCGAGGCAGCAGCATCTAGCTTAGTCTCATCATGTCTCCTCTACCTCCTTCTCCTCCTCCTCCTCCTCCTTCTTCTTCCTTTTCCTCCTCCCGCAACTGCGCCTGCCTCAGACTGCTCAACTGCAGCTGTCTCAGACTGAGACTTTCCCTCTGCCTCGGACTCCACCGCAGACTTCCTCGCGTCTGGTGCGTAGCCATCGGCCCACAACGACGTCTAGGAAGACCCAGAACACGCTCGCGATGAGGCTTAGAATCTCAGTGGGATTAACCATCTCGACGCGAATTACTCTGAACGTGTCCTTGGGTGTTGGTTCGTCGAAAAAGGGTATTTGGAGTGCGGTTTCGAGGTGTGTTTATGTGTTTGTAGTGTATGTGCGTGTCCATGTGTATGTGTATGTGTGGTCGTGTGGAAGGCTCTCAGCGATTGCGCGACGTTCTCCGTGTCCTGGTGGGTGTTGGTTCGTCTGTGTATTGTGTGAGTGTAAGGTGTGTGTTTTGTGTGTGTGTGCGTGTTGTGTATCTATATTGTTTTCCCGTGTTATGTGTGTTCTTTTTCTTTATCTGTTCTGTGTGAATATCTATCTTTCAATTATTATGTATATTATCAATTCTTATTTTGTAATCCTTTTCATTCTCTATATAATGTGTATATTTTATCATTCAATTCTCTTATCAATGTGTATATCTTATCTTTCAATTCTCTTATTAATGTGTATATTGTATCATTCAATTATCTTATTAATGTGAATATCTTATCTTTCAAATTATCTTATTAATGTGTATATCTTATCTTTGAATTCTCTTATTAATGTATATAATATCTTATCATTTAATTCTCATATTAATGTGCATATCTTATCATTCAATTCTCTTATTTATGTGTATATCTTATCTTTCATTTCTCTAATCAACGTGTATAGTATCTTATCCTCTAATACTTCTCTAGCGTATTTTGAAAATAGCAAACGCATTTCACACACATGTTCCATTTTTTAAAACCTTTAAAATCTTCCAATTTTCTATTCCCCTTTCACCTTCTCTTTGTCTCTCTTCTTCTCCTTCGCGCGACATCGAGGATAAAATCAAAATAGACTCGTGTTTTGGCTTTATTGTAAGGAACAACTTTGTATCAACAAGTTCACACACACAGCCTCCACTGCCCTTTAGAGAGAATCTGATCCTACAGAATAAAGGTTCATATCAGCTCTCCGAACAGGATTATAGGTGGCACACTGACCTTATACTCCCCGGGAGCAGCCAACCTTCAAAAAAAAAAAAAAAAAAAAAAAAAAAAAACGCATAACAAAGTTTCAGATTATGAAGGTTCAACGAAGAAAGTTAGCATATTGTCTTAAAAAAGGGAGTCGGTAAATTAAATCAATCTTTAAAAAAAACAATGATCACTTTTCCGTTTTTTTAATCTCTCTTTTCTTATTTATTTTTTTCTTCCTCAATATATATATCTTCTTATTGATATTATGTCTTGCGTCACCAATGATTGTCTTGCGATTGAATTTTGAGTTCTCAAAAAAAAAAAAAAAAAAATGAAAACCGTCTCTCGTCACGGAAAAAATGGCGGTTGGTGTGATGGTGATTTTGAATTTTTTTAACGTCTTTTTCTATTTTTTTATTCTTTTTAAATCTGCAAGGGATGAGAACGTGTGTGTGTGTGTGTGTGTGTGTGTGTGTGTGCGTGTGTGTGTGTGTGTATGTGTGTGTGTGTGTCTGTGTGAGGTGGTGATGTTCGAAGTGTGATGAAGTGATGTACTTTGTCCCATTTTTTGAAGTGTGATGAGGTGAATCTTCGAGTTTTTGTGTTTGTCTCTCTCGAGTGTGGTGACTTTTAGTGTGTTATTATCATGATTATTATCATTATTATCATTACTATTATCATTATCATTCATTCATTTATCATTATTATTATTATCACCACTATTAGTATTATCATTATAAATTTCTTTTTTTACAATATATATATATTTTTTGGTTAACTAACACTTTGCTTCTGCATTTGACTCTAACGAGTATATTGAACAAGTGGGAAAAGACAATTAACTTTCTAATTAACGATTTCCTCTCTGTCTAATTAAAGATAAGAATAGCAGACTGATGTGATTATTAAACTGGTGAAGTATTTATGTCTAAATGATACAGTCGACCGTCTAGGAAAGTGTTAAACTGTCTAAGGTTGCAGTTAAAAGTCTATATATTGTTGCGGTCCTCCGGTTAATGATACAGTTATGTCTAATGATACATATTATCTGTCTAATGAATATATTCAAACTGTCTAAAGATGATATCAACTTCCTAACGATGTATTCAACTGTCTATCGATATAAATGATTTGCTTAAAAATGCCATAAACTCTCTAACGATGTAGAAAAAACATTATTTTTTATTCATATCTATATATTATTATTATTAATGTTATTATTATTATTATTATTATTATTAACAAGTGTCCAAGCTTGGAAGTTATGACTCAAAAATGGAGATTTAAAAATGGAGAAAGTCGCGCCAAAATGGAAGGAAAAACAAAAGACTGACGGACTGATTGACTGTCTAGTGACGTAGGTGACTGTTTGACTGACGTAATGGTGACTGTCACTTCTGTGGTGATAATGGTCTCAGGCAATGAAGAGCGGGGATGGAAGGAAGGCGGAGAAGAATTGAAAATTGAAAGAAAATGTGAAGGAGACAACAGTTCATCATTGTCGTTATTTTCTTTGGAGAGATGCCGGCGAGGACTTTATAAATACACGAGAGTTCATGTTTATATATATATGGATCTCAATCTAGTCTCTATGATATAACTCAAGTCTAATTAAATGTCCTATTTGTAAACGAGAAATCTGTATGAACCACAAGTAATTTCCTAATCACCATTTTATGATTCATATTCACCGACAGAAAATCAATATATATACCAATGATTTTTTTATATATCAAAATGGCTAGTAATGACAATGGCTTAATGATATGATCAATTTGTCTCCTACGATTGAAATTAAAGATTAGTAATGTCTGGTGTGACATATCAATGAACTAATATACATATATATATATATATATATTATATATATATATATATATATTATATATATATAATATATATATATATATATTCCAAGTAAAGTATGAAGAAGGTATTGTTCATATCATTCATTATAGGTTTATATATATACGGATGATAGAGGAAAAGTTCCCTTTTTTTCATTCTTTTTTTATAAGTCTTAACAAGGCGAGTGACTGGGGTACAAGACAGGATAGTTATCAGAGGAACCAAAAACAAGATAACGGTTGTTTTCTTTACAAATAACACCAGCAAAAACAGAATCAAGTAAACATCATAAATACACAATACAGTAAAGTCGGTTGGCTGAAAAAAAAATCATATAATATCCTTTTGTTTCTGTTTTCATCACAAAAAAAAATGTTTTAGGATAAAAAATGGCGGATCAGAACCAACTGCCCGCTCTTTGTTTAAAAACTACATTGAGTATCTCACAAGTGCCTTTTTTTCGTTGTTTTAATATCAGGGCAAGATCCGAGCACAATCATTAGTCATAAAATTTAAAGAACATTTGTTTCTTCATCTTCAAAACTCTCTTACAACAAAGAGTTTTCTTTTTTCAAATCATAGTTATATTCATATATGTATATATACAAAAAAATGAGACAGGTTATATAAAAATTCTAGTTGCGACATCGAGTACATGCACATCAAAAATTTGAAAGGAAAAAAAAGTGTTTAGGATCTAATTCCACTTTCGATTGAGTGTGCGTGTGTGAGACCCATGTATGTGTGTATGTATGTGAAGGAGGGGGGGGGCGTCGTGGTGCATTTTGAAATGTGTGAAGACTGTGCGTTCGTTTGTGTGTTCTTGTGTCCGTTAAATTCAGTAATATTTGTGCGTTTTTTGTGCGTTTCAGAATTTGCCTTGAAATGGCGGCTAAGGTGAAGGCGAAGCAAATTAAATACGATGTTGAAAAGGGGGAGGGGCGTGATGCTGAGAGAGAGAGAGAGAGAGAGAGAGAGAGAGAGAGAGAGAGAGAGAGAGAGAGAGAGAGAGAGAGAGAGAGAGAGAGGAGAGAGAGAGAGAGAGAGAGAGAGAGAGAGAGAGAGAGAGAGAGAGAGAGAGAGAGAGAGAGAGAGAGAGAGAGAGAGAGAGAGAGAGAGAAGAGAGAGAGAGAGAGAGAAAGAGAGAGAGAAAGAGAGAGAGAGAGAGAGAGAGAGAGAGAGAGAGAGAGAGAGAGAGAGAGAGAGAGAGAGAGAGAGAGAGAGAGAGAGAGAGAGAGAGAGAGAGAGAGAGAATGAAATAGAGATAGAGAGAATAAGATAGAGATAGAGAGAAAGAGCTAGAGAGCTGTCGAAGATCGAGAGAAAAAAATAAATATACATCTACACAGAGAAACAAAGTAACGAAGAAAGAGGAAAGACAGAGATGGAAATGTGACAACAAGAATATTGATAATAAACAGGCGAGTAAATGCAAGGTTTGTAGTTCTCAACCCACCCCTCTCGAAATAATAAGGGTAATAAAAATAATGATAATGAAAACAGTGATAATGATGATAATAACAACAAGAATGAAAATAATACAACTAACGACAACAATAATAATGGCAATGTCAATTAAAATAATTAAATAAAGAGGAATAATTATGATAATAATAATCAGAAATGGAAAGTAACTGAATTATCATAATTGCTTGTGGTCAACACCTCGTAAAAATAAATTAATGAATAAATAAACAAAAAAATAATCATATTTTGAAGTGCACGATGTTGTTTTCTTCTTCATTTCGTCTTTTTTTTGGTTTTCGGTTTTCTATTTTGAGGATGGTGGGGGGGGGGGGGGTGAGGGTCGTTCTCTTCTCTTTATTTTCTCTCTCTCTTCTTCTTTAGTTGAAGATTTTGCGATTTATGATAACGGGGAGGCAATGAAAAAAAATCTCATTTTCTGTCATGAAAGTTAATGTCGATTTTGACGATGGAGATTTATGTTATTTTGTTTTTCTTTCGATTACATATTCTTTACAAATTCTTATCTCCGTAAAAATAACAAAAAATAACAAAAAACGCCAAAACGCTCCTTGATGGCAAAGAGTGAAACAAACACCGATTTATTTGGAGACAGCAAACTACTGTATAAATCTGACCTAAAGATCGAAGTAACCGAACTCCTCCCATTCTAAAGTCAATGAAAAATAGATTTCCTTTTCTTCCCGTTTTGAATTCCTCCTCCTTTTCCTCCCCCCGAGGACTCGCATAACAAGATGAGAAGCCCATCGCGACCACCCTCTTGAGTGATGTTTGAGAGACGGCGAGAACTGTAAGGTATGTCTGGTTCGATTCTCGGCCACTAGATGTCACCTCTGTCCGCCTTTCTCCCTCGGTGTCCTCCGGTTCTCGAAGGAAGATAGAAAAAACTTTGGCGAGACCGAAGGACGAGCCGAGAAGAGGGAGACGAGCGGCTGCCATCTCGAAGGCCGAGTTGAAAGGTTGGTTTGCTCGAGATTCTTCTAGAATAAGGTCTGAAGTGATGCTCCGCAGCAGCTGCCGCGCGCCGCTCGACGAAGACAACATACATCGACATCGCACCCACACACGCACGAGTCACAGTCAGCTGTTTTTCTTGCTTTTCTTTTCTTTTCAGTTCGAGGGAATCAGCGCTCTCTCTGCTCGTCCTGCTACTGCGGACCTTCCCTTGGGCGCCCAGCAGGAGGACGAGGAGGACGAGGAGTCGCGTGTCTAAGAGATAAGGAAGGAAGAAGGGTCCGTACCAAGACACAGGAAGGAACGCCAGGCATCAGATCAGCGTCGCGTTCCCCGTCGCCGGAACGTGACCCGGAAGAGGGGAGAGGACACGCTAATGCCGGGTGTTCTTTCCGAGCAGGAGGAAGGGCCATGACCTTCGTAAAAGAACGGCCGTCTCCAGCGTCGTGAAGAATGCGCCTCGCAACAAATACGAATGAGTGAACAAATAGATAAATAAAGTCTCGATCCTCTCCCTCCGGAGCCGGGAAAGTCCTCGTCCTCTCGCGGGAAGACAGTCGCCATCGTCTCACGAGGACCTCTCGCCGGCAGAGGAATGGTCTCCGTTTTATTTTCGTTTTCATCTTTCTTTCTTCGCCAGTGAATCTCACAAACTAACAGCGGCTGGAACGGCGCAAGGACCTGCCTGGACTGCGACCTGGAAGCACCTGCAGCCAGAGGGTTGTTCGGCCCGACTCGTAGCGCGAACGGGTAGGATTCGCCAGTGCGAGTCAGGGTTCACACGCGGCCCTTGAACAACGGGGAAGGGAGGGCGGCCATAATCGTAACACTAAGAATAACAGAGGCAGACGCGGGTCTAGCTGAAGGTGCTCCCCGGCGGGAGGCTGAGGGCGCGCTTCCCCGAGGTGCTGGGTTGAGCCCCTGTGGTGGCAGGCTGTCAGACGCCGTCTGTGTTCCAGCAAAAAAGTATAAAAGAAATGCAAAGTTGTGTGTGTCAAAGATTTAGTTGAATGCACGGGCTGATGCAGAGTGGGAGGAACACCTCACAAGTCGGGCTGCAACACAACCACAGGGTCGCGGCGCCACCTCCGCGGGGACGCGGCCCAGGCCTCAACGTTTATCCTTCTCCTTATCAACACTTCTCAACTAAAACTACAAAAATAGCCAAAGTGAATAAAAATAAATGGATGAATAAATGAATAAATAAAAAGGAATTACTAAAGAGTTTCCTATGTAAAACTAAAACCATGGTGTCTGACTAGGCAGTTTAGCTTTCTAGAACGTGTCAAGACCACAAAAAGTGTTCTGCTTTTGCATGTGATTATAATACAACAGTCTTGGTCATGCCGGCATGGGAGGCTGCTGGTGGAGCGCTGGCAAATGTTGGCAAATGTTGGCAAATGTTGGCAAGTGCCAGCAGGGTGCCACCAGGAGCGTCCCAGGGGTACCGGCATAATACGCATTACTATTGTTACAAAAAGAAACAAGATTATACGACAAATAAATAAATAAATAAATAAATAAAAAATATTATACAAAAGAGAGAATTCATACACTATGCACAACAGCATCATCAGTGACAATGAAATGACAAATTTGAGCTAATCAAAAAGGCAAAAAAAAAAAAAAAAAAAAAATAGAAAACGGGGTACATGAGAACAAAAAGCCTTCCCAAACCCCGTTTTCTTCTCATTCGCCAAACACTGAAACTTGTTCTTTTCATATACATAAAAAGAGAGAGAACACAAGAATAACATAATCATAAAACCCCTCCTCTTGCAAATGAGTCTTTTTTTGGTCTCCCTTCCATTAAAAAAAAAAAAAAAAAAAAAAAAAACGCAGATGGGAGACTCATATATTTTTTTAAAAGTACAAATGGTTCTTTCACTGTACAAATATTCCCCTGGCGCAAAAGTCAATATGACCTCTGCCACACGAGAGGCAACCAGTAAAACCGTAATAGTAATACATTCTTACTCCTCTTTTCGGAAAAAACAACAAAAAACCATTCAACCAGTACTAGAAATTACAAAGAGTACAATGCCGTACTAAACTTCACAAAGAGTACATTAGGTGGATATGAAAAAAGTGCCTATTATGCAAGATTAGCGAGTGAAAACCGGGGCTTATGTATATATTTCCTTTTCCTTTTTTTAAATTTCTCTTCAATCTTTCTTGTTTTTTTCATTTTATTTCAGTTCGCGAACCGCCCGGGCCTGTGGAGACCGCGTCAATGGGTTAAGTAGTAAAAGAGAAGCAATTTACAGGTTTCGCCCCGGCTGTGTGAGTCTGAGGTCACGTGACGGGAAATGAGGCACAGCCAAAACACTCCACAAGGGACAAAGAGCTCATTCAGTCACCGTTTCAGAATATATACGCATTGTCATTATTCTTCTCTCTTTTTTTCTCTCTCTCTTTCTCGTGTAACTTATTCCAAATCCTCGTTTTTATCAGAACTCACTCGATCCTTCTTCTTCTTCTTCCGCGGGTTCGAAAGGGCGGCTTCTCCGTTTTCTTCCGATTCCCGTTTTCTCTTCTCAACTCTTGGGTTTTTCTCTCTCTTTCTCTTCCCTTCTTCTTCTCCTCTCCTTTCGCCTTCTCCCTCCCCTCCCCAGCCCCCGGGCCGCGCAGGGTAAGGGCAGTCGGGCCAGGGCGCGACGTGAGCTCTTACGCCGCCCGCTGAGGACATCAGCTACGGCGGCGGCAGCGGCGGCGGCGGCGGCGGCGGTGGCGGCGGCGGCAGCGGCGGCGGTACAAAAAGGGACGGCTCACACATGGGCGGCAGAACGCGTCACGAACCATAACAAAATAAAGATTCTGACAGCACACGTGAGCAGGCGAGTAGCAGGCGTGGTCTGCTGAGGAAGGCACGGGCGGCGGCCGACACGCAGGGACGCCTGGGGCTGCTGGTGGTACTGCTGCTGTTGCTGCTTCGGGCACTCCCTGAGAGTGGGGCTGCGGCAAGCGAGGCTCTCACGTGGCGGCGGCGGCGGCGGCGGCGGCGGCGGCGGTGGCGGCGGCGAGGGCGGCAGCCTCGAGAACCCGCGACCTCGCTGGCTGCTACGACAGGAGCTTGAAGAACATCAAGGCCAGCGACAGGTTGAGGACGAGGATGAGCATGACCAGCCGCTGCCGGGAGAACCAGTCCTGCGGGCGAGACGGCGGTCAGGCGGGAGGCACACGCGGGCACAGGGACACAAAGTCACAGACACGTACACACGCTTAAACACATTCTCTCTCTCTCACTTTTTTTTCTCTCATTCATTCACTCACTCACTCACTCACTCTCACTCTCTCTCTCTCACCCTCCTCCCCTCTCTCTCTCTCTCTCCCCCTCCCCCTCTCTCTACTCTCTCTACTCTCTCTCTCTCTCTCTCTCTCTCTCTCTCTCTCTCTCTCTCACTCACTCACTCACTCACTCACTCACTCACTCACTCACTCACTCACTCACTCACTCACTCACTCACTCACTCACTCACTCACTCACTCACTCACTCTTTCTTCTTTCTTTCTTTCTTCTTTCTTTCTTCTCTTTCTCTCTCTCTCTCTCTCTCTCCTCTCTCTCTCTCTCTTCTCTGAACACGAGAAAATTAAAAACTTTCTGTACTCTATCTAAAAAATTTAAATAAAATTATATCAACCGAGACAGAACATTCCGGGCATTGACATAAAAATTCAAACATATATTTTCAAGGAGATTACAGACCAGAATGTCCATGAAAGTATTAGAAAGATAAAAAAAAAAACGTTTCATATCGTCTGTAGCGAGACGGAAATAGCAATAAACTAGTAATTATAATGGCCCAAAGAGGACTTCAGGAAAACAAAGGGTGGAATTCCTGAAAGATGTTTGAAGACGAAAGAGACGTTTCATCAATTTCTTAAACCTGTTTTTTATATCTAATTGAACTGATCCCATTTTTATGATTTCTTTCTGTTCTGTTTTACTTCAAGTTTTAAACCGGACTAATTTTTGGTTTTTCTCTTTTTCTTGAGAGCTCTATTCTATTTAAAAAAAAAAAAAAAAATCGTTGAACCCTGGCTCACCTGAAACCCTCCTGAATCTGACCCTGGCTCCCCTGAATCTCCTGAAGCTGACCTGATGCACCCTCCCTGGATAGCCCCTGAATCTCTGACCCTGGCTCCCTGATCTCCTGACCCTGGCTCACCTGACTCCTGAAGCTCCCCTGAATCTCCTGAAATCTCCTGACCCCTGGCTCCCCTGAATCTCCTGACCCTGGCTCCAATGAATCTCCTGACCCTTGGGCTCACTCTGCACTGAGGCTCCCCTGAATTCTCTGACACCCTGGCTCCCTGAATCTCCTGACCCTCTGAATCTCCTGACCTGAATCTCCTGACCTGGCTCACCTGAATTACCCTGAGGACCCTCACCCTGACCCTGGCTCCTGAATCTCCTGACCCTGGCTCCACCTCTCCTGACCCTGGCTCACCTGAATCTCCTGACCCTGGCTCCCCTGAATCTCCTGACCCTGGCTCCCCTGAATCTCCTGACCCTGGCTCACCTGAATCTCCTGACCTGGCTCACCTGAATCTCTGACCCTGACTCCTTGGCTCCCCTTCCTGACCTCCCTGGACCCTGAATCTCCTGACCCTGGCTCACCTGAATCTCCTGACCCTGGCTCACCTGAATCTCCTGAATCTCCTTGACCCTGGCTCAATCTCCTGACCCTGGCTCCCTGAATCTCCTGACACTGACCCTGGCTCTCCTGACCTTCACCTGAATCTCCTGGGCTCACCCTCCTGACCCTGGCTCCCCTCCTGAATCTCCTGACTCCTGACCCTGGCTCCTGAATCTCCTGACCCTGGCTCCCTGAATCTCCTGGCTCCCCTGGCTCACCTGAATCTCCTGACCCTGGCTCACCTCCTGACCTGACCTGAATCTCCTGACCCTGGCTCACCTGAATCTCCTGAACCTGAATCTCCTGACCCTGGCTCACCTGATCTCCCCTGAATCTCCTGAATCTCCTGACCCTGGCTCACCTGAATCTCCTGACCTGGTCCCTGGGGCTCACCTGAATGACCCTGCTCACCTGATCTCCTGACCCTGGCACCTGGACTCCCCCTCCTGACCCTGGCTCACCTGAATCTCCTGACCTCTGGCTCCCCTGAATCTCTGACCTGCTCACCTGAATCTCCTGACCCTGAACCTGAATCTCCTGACCCTGGCTCACCTGAATCTCTGGACCCTCCTGACCAACCTGACCCTGGCTCACCTGAATCTCCTGACCCTGGCTCACCCTGAATCTCCTGACCCTGGCTCACCTGAATCTCCTGACCCTGGCTCACCCTGACTCCTGACCCTGATCTCTTGACCCTGGCTCCCTGAATCTCCCTAAATCCACCTGCTCCTGATCTCCTGACCCTGGCTCACCTGAATTCCTGACCCTGGCTTGAATCTCCCTGAACCTGAATCTCCTGACCCTGGCTCACCTGATCTCCTGAACTGAATCTCTGACCCTGAATCTCCTGAACCTGAACTCCTGACCCTGGCTCACCTGAATCTCCTGACCCTGGCTGATCTCCTGAAATCTCCTGACCCTGGCTCCCCTGAATCTCCTGACCCTGGCTCACTGAATCTCCTGACCTGGCTCACCTGAATCCTGACCTGGCTCCTGAATCTCCTGACCTTGAATCTCCTGACCCTGGCTCCCCTGAATCTCCTGACCCTGGCTCCCCTGAATCTCCTGACCCTGGCTCCCCTGAATCTCCTGACCCTGGCTCACCCTGGGCTCCCTGAATCCCTGGCTACCTGAATCTCCTGACCCTGGCTCACCTGGACCTGAATCCCTTGACCTGACCCTGGCTCACTGAATCTCCTGACCTGGCTCCCCTGACCCCTCACCTGAAATCTCCTGACCCTGGCTCTGACTCCTGACCCTGACCTGAAAGATCTGGTGGCTCACCTGAATCTCCTGTGGCTCACCTGAAACCTCTCCTGACCCTCCCCTCAACCTGAATCTCCTGACCCTGGTCCTGACCCTGACCTGGACCCTGCTCCCCTGAATCTCCTGACCCTGGCTCACACCTGAATCTCCTGACCCTGCCCCTGAGACTGAATCTCCTGACCCTGCTCCCTGACCCTGGCTCACCTGAATCTCCTGACCCTGGCTCACCTGAATCTCCTGACCACCTGAATCACCCTGAATCTCCTGACCCACTGGCACCCTGAATCTCCTGACCTGAATCTCCTGGAATCTCTGACCCTGGAATAAGTGGCTCCCTGAATCTCCTGACCCTGGCGACTCCTGACCCTGGCTCCCTGAATCTCCTGACAATCTCCTGAGGAATCTCCTGACCCTCCCTGTCTCCTGACCTTAGGCTCTGGCTCCCTGAGGCTCACCTGAAACCAATCTCCTGACCTCTCCTGACCCCGGCTCACCTGAACGGCAGGACTGGTGAGGTAGAGGAGCGGGTTGGCGCGGTACAGCTCGGCCTCCTCGGCCTGGCGGCGGAACTCGTGCCTCTGGGCGGAGCTGAGCACCGCGGCCTCCTCGCGCGACATGATGTTCACGGGCAGCCCCTGCACCTCCGGCAGCGACTTCTTGCGCTTCAACGTGGGCGCCGGCGCCGTCTGGGGAGAGGGAGGGTGTTAGGCGGCAGCCGTGGAGGCGGGCAGGCTGGGGGGGAGTGGGAGGGAGGGGAGTATGTCATATTTCAAAGGACTAATGAACAGCTTTGGCCTCTGGGGGCTCGGCCGCTACGAGGGGTGGGGGGGGGGGGTGTCCCTACCTTAACCTGCGCCTGACGCCGCACGATGGGGTTGATGTAGAGCGACTCTGTGCGCTTGACGGTGCCCTGGCCGGGCGTGGGCGGGCACGGCGGGATCTCCTGGCCGCACGCGCGCTTGCGCAGAAGGCTCTCGGCCTCCTGCGGGCTCGAGGGGATGGCGTAGGGCACGGGGAAGCCGCCGCCCACCGAGCCGTTGCCGGTGAGCGCCGGCGCCTCGCTCGAGATGATGGAGGCGGGGCGCGACGGCCGTCGGGAGCCGCCCGCGGGCGCCGCCGCCTCGTCGTCGTACACGCCCGAGTCCGGCGTCCAGTCCTGCGTCGTGGAGCGCTGCGCAGACGGCGCGCGCGACCGCGGGTTGATCAGCTCGGGCGGCACGGGCGTCTGGCCGCGCGACGCGAAGCGGTCCACGGAGCGGTCGCGCGACGGCGGGCGCGACGGCGGTCTGTTGTAGTGGCTGAAGCGGTCGTTGAGGGTGGCGCTGGGGATGGAGCTGAAGTCGGGCGCCGGCGGGGGCTTGGAGCCGCCGCGGCCGCTCTGCCGCATGGGCGTGTTCCCGCGGTCCGCGCCGCGCATGAGCGAGTCGCCGCGCGTCATCTGCGGCAGCGGCGCGTCGGGCAGCATCCCGCCGCCGCCCGGGTTCATGGACGTGCGGCGCGAGCCCGCCACCTCCTGCGCCGCGACTCCTGCAGAAGGCAAGTCAGCAGAGTTAAGCAAGCTGGAAGTGTAGCCGGGTCCCCCCCCTCCTCCGGGCGGCGGCAGAATGGAGTCGACCTCCTGCGGGGCGGCGGCGGCGTGGGCGCGCCCTAGGTGCTCGTCCAGGCCGCCCGGCACGTACAGCGACTGCGAGCGGCCCGCCGACGCCTCCGTGCGGGGGCGCGGCGGCGGCAGGCGGCTCATGTCCGGCTGGCCGTCGCGGGCGCGCTGCTGGCTCTTGAGCACGTCGACGCCTGCAAGGGAGAGGGCGGTCAGTGAGGCCGGCTGCGGGAGGGCAGAAGAGCGCCGAAGGAATGAGGCTCAAGTGTCAATGTGTGCATCCTGTGACCAGGAAGCTCCTGCCGTTTGATCTGAATCTAATTCTATGTTTGATGGAAAATCTATCCCAATTGCTACAATAAATTCTCTTTCAATTACTGTTGTTAATACATCCAATAATATTTCTTGTTGTTATTTACAAAACACCGAAAACCCTCCATGAATAGCAAAGTTACTTAAAATACCGTCGCAGTAAAGACTGGAGTTGCAATAACAGTAACAGTTTTTCTTCATGGCTTGCAAGGAAACAACTGCATGCTTCATGCTAGGGTCAAAATAGGATTTTTTATGGGCCTTTTCATTCTTTTCTCTGTTTGGCTCCCATTCTTTGTAACTATCTCTTATACTCGTTTTCGTTTTCTGTGTCTGCCTACTCTCTTTCCCTTTCTATCTATCTGTCTGTCTATCTCCGTCTTTGTCTGCCTACCTGTTCGTTCTTTCCATCTCTCTCTCTCTCTCTCTCTCTCTCTCTCTCTCTCTCTCTCTCTCTGTCTCTGTCTCTGTCTGTCTTCTCTCTCTCTCTCTCTCTCTCTCTCTCTCTCTCTCTCTCTCTCTCTCCTCTTCTCTCTCTCTCTCTCTCTCTCTCTCTCTCTCTCTCTCTCTCCCTCTCTCTCCTCTCTCTCTCTCTCTCTCTCTCTGTCTCCCCTCTCTCTCTCCTCTCTCTCTCTCTCTCTCTCTCTCTCTCTTCTCTCTCCCTCTCTCCTCTCTCCTCTCTCTCTTCTCTCTCTCTCTCTCTCTCTCTCTCTCTCTCTCTCTCTCTCTCTCTCTCTCTCTCTCTGTGTGTGTTGTGTGTGTGTGTCTCTCTTTCTCTTTCTTTCTTTCTCTCTCTCTCTCTCTCTCTCTCTCTCTCTCTCTCTCTCTCTCTCTCTCTCTCTCTCTCTCTCTCTCTCTCTCTCTCTCTCTCTCCTCTATCTCTCTCTATCTATCTATCTATCTATCTCTCCCTCCCTCCATCCCTCTCTCTCTCTCTCTCTCTCGCACACTGGAGGTAATTAGGAAAAAACGCATAACCTTATTACTAGGAATTCCAACAACCCATTCTTAAAAACCGCAATCGAGCTGCTGAAATGTAATTAAGCAGCAGCCATCTTTTGATCACTATCATTATCTTCTGTTCAATCAAGAAAGTACACTTAATGAAGGGCATCATAAGTAATCTATGAGATAAAATAGATATATAAATTGCGGGCCATATTGAGGCTAATCTGTTGCGAACATTACTACTGGAACAATTCTTTCGAAAAGCTCTTTATAAGTGTTTCAAACTTATTTATCATTTGTTTATTAATGCTTATCGTATTCATCGTCCACAGTAAATATCTTTATTTTTCATTTTTTTATTGCCATTACTGTATATTTTTCATAAATTCCTTATATCCTATCCATTGTTCGTCGTGCCTTTAAAAAAGAACAAAGCGAATCATTCAGTCGGTTTTCGCAAATATCTGGCTCCATTCTAGGCAAGGACCATAGGGACGAATAGGCTTCTGTGGCGAATCTGACAAGATAACATTCGTACTTTTGCACAAAATACGTGATTATAATATTGATTACTTTAGTTCCATTTCTAAAAAAAGGGGAGAAAATAACAGTCTCTCAGACCATTTACAGAAAATTTAACGAATTCTAGGTAATATGAGGATTTGAAGACAGTGAGGAAGTTCCCGCCATTTTCTGTATATTGTCGACATCACTCGCGTTATTGAAAGGGAGATAGAAGGACCTTTAACGACATTTACATAATAAACTTTAAGAAATAACAAATGTATTACGTAACATTATCTTTGCTGAATCGATATCAATGTATTGGTTCTTCTGGCTTCAGTATTTGCCTTTTACTGAATAGGTTTGAATGAGAATGGATATCTTCACAATACAAGAGATGTATTTGACAGGTCTCGAATAAATCTTCGTCAGAAACGTATTTCTGGCGAAGATATATTCGAAACCGGTCAAACACATGGCTTATATTGTGAAGATATTCAATCTCATTCATACCTTTTCTACACTTATCAACATGAATACGGTTCTTTCATCTAAAACTGTAACCTGTATCCCCAGAGAATTCAATTATGTATATATTTATTGTTCTTTCGCTTTTCCTCTCTTTATCTATTTTATATATTTGACAGTTACCTGGCGTCGATGCTGAAAAGTAACTTATTTAAGGAAGAAAAAATGCAAATCGGGACAGCTGTTGCATGCTATGTATAAAAACTTTATCGACTCAAAAAAGGCAAGGGAGGGGGGGGGTAGACACAAAATGGCGGAGAAGTCTTGATTTTTACTTCATTTGATCTAATGCTGGGTGTAGGGGAAGGGCACACAGAATGGAATAAAAAGCCTTGTCTTATTGAAATGCTGAATAGAGGTTGGAAGGGACGGGGGGGGGGGGGGGGGGGGGTAACCACACCAAAGACAAGCGTGTACATGTCATTCGAAAAACAAAACAAAAACAAAAATGATGGATTGGGATAAAGTGAAGGGGAGGAAATGCAGATTTAACGAACAAATGGATTATAACGTACCTGCTAATTATGAATGTTATTTGGACGATGCGAGCTGTCTGCAGTTCACATACTCCCTCCATAGGGAAATATCTTTTTCTATCTTATCGGTCTGTTCTCTTATCAATCAGCCTCTCTAGTTATATATTTTTACCCATAAACATTTTCATAATTAAATGCTTAATGTCTCCCATCTAACCCCTCCCCCTTCCCCCCATAAAATAAGATGAAATAAAGGAGAAATCTAACCGGAGACGGATGTGAACGAAGTCCAATGATAATAATAATAATGAAAAGAACCATCTTTCTAACCTAAATTGGCGCGCTCGAAAGCAACATCTCATTAGCATTAAACTTCTTTCCCAATGAGCATCCGGAAGTGTCGAAAGGAGTCAATTAAGTTAATCCGATCTTACTTTGTCAACGAAGCGTGAAATTTCGATCAAGATTTATTCGCGCTTGGCTTTGACTTCGGTTTCATTGCGACGGTTTTATTGGCTTGCTCATGCAGGATGTGACGATAACTATCCGAATGAATAATTTTTAGTTATATGTAAAAGTATAAATATATATATTTATATATTTTTTCTTTTTCTTTTTTTAAGATAGTTACATGATCCTATTACCTATTACGTTACTTCGAGAACAAATCTATACATCACTTACTCTGATTAAAGAATATGTTGAAATATTCTTAAAACATAATTTACATTCTCAATTCTCGTTTAAGATATTGCATAAGCTATGGCTATCATTACTTGCGCGAATCTTAATGTCAATTCAAAGCCGTTTCTTAAATTCATTTACGGCGTTACGACAGCTCCGTAATAAATATAAATATTATGATTCTCATGACAAAAGAACATCGCTCGAAACACGAAATATAGAATCAGCGTATGCTTGATTTAAAGAATTAAAGAAAAACAATTTAAATAATGATCAAATAGAATAAAGGTTATGCCTATGACATTTGTAAATAATGCGTGGAGAGTGAATGAATATTTCAAACGGTAAATTCATTCACAGTTCCCGTACAAATGAAAATACGCCAACCATTGTAACAAAAGAGCATCGCCCGCAAAAAACAATGGAATCGAAGACTGTAAAATACCTTGGGATAAACACTGTATATCTACATAAAATAGTCTATTAGGGGGATTGATAGGGTGGGAATAGACACATATAATTAAACATTAATTGAACTCTTAGATTTCTACAAACAATATACGAGAATTCAATCTAAATTACCTCTCACTGTTTGTGTATATAACAGTTATATCTACTGTAGTCTCGACTTAACTACGGATAGACTCTACCATTAATTGTCTTGTATTTTCAACCATTAATTAATAATACAGGTTTTGTACCATGCAACTACCATGATTGTTGGAATAATTACCAAAATATGACAGAATTCCTATCCTTTTTAACCATTGCTATTTTTCAAATTTTGGTGATACTTTAAATTTGCTATAAAAATATATCATATATAATTTAGACATACTGATATGCGTTTATTACTATCATAACTGTCATGTGAAATATCATACTTTATCATCATTGTTGCAATCATTAACATCATTATCTTCATTATTGTTATTACCGTAAATTATGATCATCTTTACAGTTCTTATCATTATCACTGTTGTTATTATCGTCATCATTATCATTATCATCATCACCATTATCATCCCCATTATTATCACCATTCTCCTCATCATTATCATTAGTATTAAAATTTATTATCGTTTCACTGGCAATATTATTCTTGTTATCAGTGTTATTATCAATTTTATCATCACCACTATCTTCAAAATAACTACTCTCATCATTTTAACTCTTTCCATTTTCGTTATCATTACCATTAATATTCATTTCATTAATATCAATAATAATAATATCAGTAATATCAGCAATAACAATAACAATGATAATGATAATAATAATATCAATAATGATGATAATAATAATAATAAAAAAAATCATAACAACAATAAAGATAATCACAACAACAACAACAATAATAATCATATAACAACTGCAATAACAATGACAACAATAAACAACAACAATGACAAAATATCCAAGAATTACCTGGTTGGTGGAAATCTGGTGCAAACTGTTTGGCGAAAATTCTTGCAATATCGGAGTCTTCCCTTGCATGGACAGCATATATATCTGCCTGCTCGGCTTTCCCGCGGGCAGTAGCGGTCCTGGAGAGGGAGAGGGAGGGTCACGTTATGTCGTACTGGGGGGTGAGGGAGCGTTTAGACAATGGGGGTGGTGATGAAGGAATGGGGAATGAGTGATATATATGAATATATATAGAGAGAGAAGGAAGGAAAGTGAGAGAGAGAGAGACAGACAGAGAAAGTGAGAGAGAGAAGTGAGAAGGATGAGAGACAGACAGAGGGAGAGAGAAGGAAAGAAGTGAGAGAGAGAGAGAAGACAGAGAGAGAAAGTGAGAGAGAGAGAGACAGAAGAGAGAGAGAGTGAAGGAAAGAAGGTGAGAGACAGACAGAGAGAGAGAGAAGGAAAGAAAGTGAGAGAGAGAGAGAGACAGACAGAGAGAGAAAGAGAGAGAAAGAGAGAGAGAGAAAAGAGAGTGAGAGAGAAAGTGAGTGAGAGAAATGAGAGAAGAAGAGAATGGCATGAGCTTAAATCTTACGTTATCTAGTCCCTATCCTTTTGCCTTTCCTATCCTCACCCTATCCCTTTCCCCTCCCATTATCCTTCCCCCTCCTATTCTTCCCCTATCTCCTCCATTTCCAAATATATCCTTCATCCTATCCTATTCCCCATTCCTTTCCCGTCCTCCTTCCATCCCCACCACTATCCTCCATCCTTCATTCCTACCCCCATCCTACATCATATTATGCCTTCTCCCTAGGCCCCAACCTTCCTTATGATCCCACCCCAAACGATATCCTCCTCCTCCTCCTATCCTCGTCCTTCCTCAGTCCTTTTTCCAATCCTCTCCTAGTTCCCCAATCCTTTTCCAATCCTTTCCTAATTCTCCAATCTCTCTAATCCCTTCAAATCCCTTCTCTCAGTCCTCATCGAGAGACAGAGATGTTCTCCTTCTGCATGACGACCTCCCCTATTCCCCAATCCTGCATTTCCTTTCCTAATCCCAATCTCCCTATTCCCCAATCCTGCATTTCTTTTCCTAATCCCACTCTCCCTATTCCCAATCCCTTTTCCAATGGCTCCCCTATCTTCCCCCCTCTCCTAGTCACCCTTCCTAATCCTCCTCCCCTAATCCCTCCGCCTAATCCTCACCGAGAGAGAGCGATTTCCACTACCCAACTATGAACCCAATCTCCCTACAGTCCCGTCTCCTTACTCCTAATCTCCAACCGGCCCCAAACCCCTCACCCTAATGCCCGCCTAATCCTCACCGAGAGAGAGCGATGTCCTCCTTTTGCAAGACAAGACACATCCCCCTAATCCTTCCTAATCCTCCCCCTAATCCTGAGCCCAATCCTCACCCACAGATAGCGATGTCCTTATACATGGCGATCAGGGCTGCCTCTCCCCCTCTCCTTCTAATCGTCCAACCCCCCTCCCTTAATCTCCAATCCCTTTTCCAATCCCCCCTCTCCCTCTAATCCTCCATTCCCCCTCCACCCAATGGCCCCTCCCTCTCCTAGCTCCCCTTCCTAATCCTCCCCCAATCCCCTCTCCCTCCAATCCCCCCTCCCCTAATCCCCGCCCAATCCTCACCGAGAGATAGCGATGTCCTCCTTCTGCAATGCAACCTCTCCCTATCCCCCAATCCCTTCCTCAATAGCCCCCTTCTCCCTCTAATCCAACCCCCTCCCCTAATCCCCCACCCAACAGCCCCCCTCTTTCCCTCCAATCCCCCTCCCTAATCCCCCGCCCAATCCTCACCGAGAGATAGCGATGTCCTCCTTCTGCATGGCGATCTTGGCAGCCTTCTGCGCGGCCGCCACCGCTGCCTCGATCCGCTCGCGAAACTTGGCGGAGCGAATGAGGAAGACGTGTTTTCTTCTTGTGGATGTGATCAGGACGTTGTTCTTGTATTTCCCCTCTTCCTTGGTGCCGTCCTGAGGGGGGGAAGGGGGGGGGAGAGGGGGGGAATGGGGAGGGAGAGGTGGGAGGGGGAAGGAGGAAGTAGGGTGGAAGAGGGGAAGTGTAGGAGAGGGGTGGAGAGGGAAGGGAGAGGGGAAGAGGGGAGAGGGGGAGAGTAAGACGGTAGGAGAGAAGGGGGAGGGGAAGAGGGGAAGAAGAGAAGGTAGGAGAGAGTGGAAGAGGAGAATGTTAGGAAAGGGTGGGAGAGGAGTAAAAGGGAAAATAGGGAAGGAGGACGGGGGAGAAGGTTGAAGGGAGGCAGTGAGAAAGAGAAGAATAGGAAGAAGAGGAATTGGTGGAAGGAAAGAAGGAGGGGAGAAGGGAGAATACATTTTTGCATCAGTTTTCGATAGTTTGTGTCTTCTTACCTTCCTAAATCATAATCTATGCTCAGAGTGAGTTTTTTTTCCTTATTGCAAAGAAAACAAACATACAAATAAAGCATCAAATACACACGCACACACACACACACACACACACACACACATACACACGCACACACACACACACACACACACACGCACACACACAACACGCACAAAGTACACGCACACACACTTGAAGCCATAAAGGAATATTTCCTTTTCCAAAATGCAACGGATCACACGAGGGTAAGACTGCTAGATAGACCGTCTATGCCTGACCTAATATTCACAAAGCATTAAGATGATATTAAGGATATTGAGTACTGTCCTTCTTTAGGAAAAACTGATCATTTAGTAATTCAGCTAAAATGCAATTACAAGAGAGGTGATTAAGGTGATTAATAAAGACTTCAAGATTTATTTGATGGCATAAACTGAAAAAAAAATGCAAAGAGGGGTCACAAGATGGGTACCTACTCTATAAAAATTATGAGCCACGAAGACAGACTACAGAAAATAGGACTTACTACTTTGGAACACAGAGGGAAAAGGGGTAACGTGACTGTGCTGTTCAACTATGTTACAGGAAGAGTGAAGTTCAACAGGGACGACTTTGTAATTTTGAACACGAGAAGGACGAGAGAACACAAGTAAAAAGTTGGAAGTAAGAAGAGGCGATAAAGGTATCAAAAAGCTCATTTTCCCAAACAGCACTATTGAAACATGGAACAGTCTTCCAAGGTGTCAAAAATGTACATGAAATTAAAAACGTTAAATTATAGTGGACGGGGTCGTATTGAAACAACTAGGTCATAACTAGGTAAAAACACACACACACACACACACACACACACACACACACCCACCTGCACCCTCTCTACCATCTTACCCCTCCACACACCCTCCCTCTCACCCCACCCTCCCTACATCCCTTCCCCCCACCCCACAACCCCCACCCTCTCCCTCCCTCCCCTACCAGCCCCCCTCCCTCTCCACACCCCCCCCTCCCCCACCCCTCTCACCTTAAACGTAGTCACGCCATAGCCGTATTTCTTGTTGTTGTACCACTCGCCCTCGTACTTGAGTCCGTCGGTGCGGTCCGAGACGCCGAAACCGCACCGCTTGTCGTTCTTCCTCGCCCATGTAGTTCTCCACCACACTCGCGTCCAGCTGTTCGTCCTGCTTGGGTGAGGGAGAGAGGTTCAGTTGGGGGGAAGCTGGGAGGGAGAGGGGGGGAGGTGGAGGGAGAAGGGAGGAGGTGGAAGGGAGAGGGGGAACTGGGAGGGAGAGCGGGAGGTGGGAAGGAGAGGGGGGAGGTGGGGAGGGAGAGGGAGGAGGAGGTGGGGAGGGAGAGGGGGAGGTGGGGAGAGGAAGGGGGACGGTGGTGAGGGAAAGAGGATGGATATCGGGGAGGAGGGAGGAGGACGGGACGGAAGGCAGAAAAGAGGGAGATAGGTAAGGGAGGAGGAGAATAGTAGAAATGAAGAAGAAGAAGAAAGAAGAAGGAGAGGAGGAGGAGGAATAGGAAAAGAAGGAGGAAGAGGAGGAGAAGAAGAGAAGAAGGAGGAAGAGAAAGGAAAGGAGGAAGAAGAAGAAGAGGAGAGGAAGAAGAAGAGGATAAGGGAGAAGAAAAGGGGCCTTGCATGAGTGAGGGAGAAAGGTTCAGGTGGGGGAGAAGTTTAAGAGGGAGGGGGGAAGAGGGAGGTTGTGGTGGAGGAGGAGGTGGGGAGGTGGGGGAGGAGGGGAAGAAGGAGGGGAGGAGGAGACAGGAGAAGGAGGTGAGCAGGAGGTGGTGAGGAGGAGAAATAAAGAGGGAAGAAAGGAGAGACGTAGAAAGGAAAGGGAGGAGGAAGGAAGGAAGGGAAAAGAAGAGAAGAAGGAAGGGAGGGAAGAAAGAAGGGCGGGGAAGGAAGGAAGGAAGAGGAAGAGTAAGAAAGGGAAGGGAAAGGAGATAAAAAAGGAAAAAAGGAAAGAGGAGCAAAAGAACACGAAAAAGGAAAACGACGAAAGAAAATAAGAAGAAAGAAAAAGGAAACAAAAATGAAAAAAGGAAGATGAAAAACGAAGCAAAAGAAGGAGAAACAGAAAGGGAGAGAATGAGGTCTCTATATTAAAAAAGGGAACCGTTAAGACACTTTTTGAAACACTTTTTTCATAAAGTGGGAGTAAGGTGGGGGGGAGGGGGGGATAACACAAAACACCTAAAAACGAACTTATCTTTAAGGGATTTAAGGATCTCGTTTTAGGGAAGGGGAAACAAGCTCAAAAATTAAGAGGTCACAAAGCCTGAATTTTGATAAGGAGAAAGCTTGTAATAAATCGAAAATTTAAGGCTTAATACAAAAAAATACAGGGATCGTTAGGTTACAGGAGATTATAAGAAATGTGACGTTGTTAGATTACAAAACATTCCTGCAAAAACTGTTAATACCTTGAAGAAAAAATTGAATTTTCACAAAGGGATTCTGATCCTGTAATTGAAAATAGTTGAGTCTGTCCTCAAACATCCTTACAGAAAACGTGGAATGAACTTTGTAAATATTAATTAATGATATAAATAATGATAATAACAATCTGATAAATACTGTAATTAAGTTTCTCTTAGCCTATTTCTATGTACACTATTCCCATATCTCGTAAGGCATGCAGTCTTTGGCTTCGGAGATATAGCTACTGTTTTATGAGAATTTATATGAACCTTTAGAATATAAGTTGGTTTTTAGTTTCTTACATTTAATTTAGATATTTATGTTTATCGTTATCTTTTAGTTTTTCTTAAGTGTAGACTATGAAATGATTTGCATTCTAACTATGCATATGTATATGTATACATGCATATATATATATATATATATATATATATATATATATATATATATATATATATATATATATATATATATATATATATATATATATATATATATATATATATATATATATATATATATATATATATATATATATACGTAAGCATCAAAAGCACAATACAAAGAAATTCAAAGTACACACATGACAGAAAAAATACATAGCAATTCTCTAGAGCTATGAAATCAAACTAATGAACTAAAATAAAGTGAACGAAGATAAAACAAAATAAAACACAACTTGGGCAAGCAAGCGACTACAGCTTAGCGCTCGAGCTTAGCGTAAATCGCTACCTACTTGAGCAGAGCCTTCTACGCTACGACGTCGCGTTCTGCGCAGGCGCCAAAATACGGAACAAAAGGCGGGTGACAGAGACAGAAACAGTGACAGAGACAGAGCTGTGCAGTGGCAGCCAGCGCGTGCAGACCATCACCATCACCATCATCACCATCACCATCACTACAGCAAGGTTACAGAGGCTTCTCGACAGCGTTACAGCGGCGGCTACAGAGCTACACGTACCAACCCTACCTCGATGATGAAGGAGGCGTTGGAACCCTCGTCCGGAACGTCTCCTACTGTGTACGCCGACTGGCCGGAGTCCGTCGACATCCACGACGCCGAAGACCCGGTCGAGCGAATGGATCCGGACGCGCGCCCTGTCTGGATGTCGCCCGTGCTTCGCTGGCGACCGCATCTTCAGACCCTGGGGGGAGAGGAGGGTCAGCGGGGGGGGCGGGGGCGAGGGCTTGCCGAATTATGAATGAATTGTCTATGATTTGGGAATGAATTATGAATAAATTGTTAATGAATGATGAATTGTAATAAATTGTGAATGAATTGATTTGTGAATTATGAATAAATTGTGAATGAATTATGAATAAATTGTGAATGAATTATGAATTTTTGTTAATGAATTATGAATAAATTGTGATGAATTATGAATAAATTGTGAATGAATTATGAAAATTATGAATAAATGTGAATGAATTATGAATGAAGTAATGAATTATGAAGAAATTGTGAATAATTATAAAAGATTGTAAATGAACTAGGAATAATTTGTGAATGAATTATGAATTGGGAATGAGTTATGCATAAATGGAAAATGAATCATGAACAAAATGTGAATATATTATGAATGAATTATGAGTAAATTGTGAATCAATTTGAATAAATTGTAAATAAACTATAAATAAATTTTGAATGAATTATGAAAAAAATATAAACGAATTATGAATAAATTGTGAATGATTCATAGCTGCCCGGGGGGGGGGGGGGTCATAGGGGGGTGGATGAGTGATGGGTGAGCGAATGGATGAATGGCGACGATGGCAAGATAACTTATGAAATGAATTTTGAATGAATTATGAATGCTGGAATATCTATAGATCCCGGGGTGGGGGGTGGGGTGGGGGTGAATAAGTGCGAATGGATGAGTCATGAGTAAGTGAGAGATGGATGCATGGGTGATTGGTTGAATGATGAATAGATGAATGCGTGCTGAGTGAGAGACGGATGAGGATGACCAGATTATGGATGAGTAACGAATGGATGAATTAAAAAGGAATAAGACAAGGGTGTGGATGATTGAGTGAATCATGGATGAAGAATGAGTGAAGAACGGATGAATGAGTAACATGGGAAATGAAAAATAAATGAGTAACCTAGGGAGCGAATCGGTGAATAAGTCATCAAGAGATGAATGAAAGAACAGATATAAACAGATAAAGAAGGGATGAGTAAGAGGATGAATAAATGGATAGGTAAAAAGGCGAATAAAAGTGGTGATAAACAGGATAAACAGGAAATGAAGAAATTGAGAGAGAGAGAGAGAGAGAGAGAGAGAGAGAGAGAGAGAGAGAGAGAGAGAGAGAGAGAGAGAGAGAGAGAGAGAGAGAGAGAGAGAGAGAGAGAGAGAGAGAGAGAGAGAGAGGAAGAGAGAGAGAAAGAGAAAGAGAGAGAGAAACAGAAAGAGACAGGGAAACAGTAAATGAATGATGAGTGAATAAAGGAATAATAAAAAATGATGAATAATAAATATAGAAAAAAATGGAAATAATAAACGGATATGCTCATAATCAAATATGTGTGAATACATGTATATAAATGATGAAGAAATTAACACCTATATGGATATGTCTGATATATGTCTATATATATATATAATATATATATATATATATATACATGAATGAAAAAGTGTATGTGAATAGGAAAAAAATGTATGGTTGTGATGTAATCTCCTATTGACCATATTCAGTGAACACTTTTTGAACAATATAACATTCTGTGTTTTCAATATTACATGTACATAATTTACAAGCAAACTTTACTCAAATATCGTCATAAGAAGTAACATTATCATTTAAAATACAATTTCTTCATTAAAAAATATATATAAAAAATAAACCTTCAAACCAATTTTCATTTCAGACATAACACGTATCAAAAAAGAGTCAAAACTACTATTAATGAACGTTAGTAATTATCGCCAACTGCAATTAGTAGGCATATTGAGCGTTACATCATACCATTACCTCACCAAGACTCATCAACTTATTAAGTGTTACGTTTTTTTACTATCACTATTATTATTACCATTACTATTATGTCATACTGTACTACCTTGCCAAGTTGCGATGTCGTGTGAAGATTTTTACTTTTAATGGTGAGAAAGTGGTATATTTCATCGTTTATAATGGTATACTTTTCCCCACAGACAAACCCGGGTATTGCTGAACCATTATAGACAAATAAAATACACTTTCGTTATTTCTTTGAATTAGTTTTCGTTTAATTTCGGTCACGTTTTTTGGTGTGTTGTCTATTAATCAGTGGGTTTATCTCTTGTCCTGAGAGAGTAAGGAGACAGAAAGAAAGAAAGAGATAAGATAGATAGATATAGATATTTAGATAGATAGATAGATAGATTGATAGAGAGAGAGAGAGAGAGAGAGAGAGAGAGAGAGAGAGAGAGAGAGAGAGAGAGAGAGAGAGAGAGAGAGAGAGAGAGAGAGAGAGAGAGAGAGAGAGAGAGAGAGAGAGAGAGAGAGAGAGAGAAGAGAGAGAGAGAGAGAGAGAGAGAGAGAAAGAGAGAGAGAGAGAGAGAGAGAGAGAGAGAGAGAGAGAGAGAGAGAGAGAGAGAGAGAGAGAGAGAAGAGAGAGAGAGAGAGAGAGAGAGAGAGAGAGAGAGAGAGAGAGAGAGAAGAGAGAGAGAGAGAGAGAGAGAGAGAGAGAGAGAGAGAGAGAGAGAGAGACAGACAGAGAGAAACAGACACAAACAGACAAAAAACAAAAAACAGAAAACAAAACAGAATCCATTAAAAGAAGACCCAACACCACCCAACCCACACCCCCCCCACGCACCCCACCCCAACCCACGCCCACCCCCAACCACGCCACCCCCACCCACGCCCTCCACGCCCCATCCCCCACCCCACCCCAACCCACGCCCGTCCCCAACCCACGCCCCACCCCAACCCACTCACCTTAAAGACGTTCCTGATGTTGCTTGGTCGATCGGAAACAAGGCTGCCTCTCCTGCGCGGAACCTCGTCGCTCCTCGCCCGCAGCACGAAGAACCGCCCGCGCCGTTCGTCTACCTTGCGGGCGTGGGAGAGGGTCATCGTGGCGTGCGGAAAGGGGTCAGTCGGTAGTGTGGAAGGAAGGGGGGAGTATTTAATATATATATATATTATTGCGAGAAGGGTCAGCGTGGGTGTGTAAGGAGGGGAAAGGGGAAGAAACGGAGGGTGGAAAGGGTCAGTTCTGTGTGTCTATGAAGGGGTCGATTTTCGTGCGTGGGAAAGCGTCATCGTGGCTGGAGGGGGTTATCGTTGCCTGGGGAAAAGGGGTCAGTCGTGGCTTGGGAAAGGTCATTCGGTGGGCGTGAGGAAAGGCGTCAGTCGGTGGGCGGTGAGGAAAAGGGCGTTCATCTGGAACAGACTGAGGAAAGGGATCAGTCGGTTCGGGCGTAGGTGAAAGGCGTCATCTTGGGGTGAAAGGGTCAGACGGGCATGTGTTTAAGAGTGGGAAGAAGGGGAAGGAGTGGAAAGCGGCCGCTAGTCGTGGGGGGAAAGGTGGTCAGTCGGGCGTGAGAAAGGGTCCAGTCGACGTGGGCTTTGGCGTGAGAAAGGGTCTGATTCTGTGTGCTTGAGGAAAAGGTCAGTCGTGGCTGGGGAAGGGTCAGTCGTGCGTGGAAAGGGTCATCTTGGTGGGGAAAGGGGTCACGTGGGTGGAAAGGTCAGTCTTCTCGTTAGGAAATTGTCAGTCGTGGGCGTGAGGAAGGGTCAGTGCTGGGCGTGGGGAAAGGTGCAGTCCGTGGCGTGGGGAAGGTCAGCGTGGCGGTGAGGAAATGGGTCAGTCGGTGGGCTGGGGAAAGGGTCAGTCGTTTTTGTGTCCGTGGCGAAAGGGTCGTGTGCGTGCGGAAAGGGGTCTATCTGTGGGGTGGAAAGGGTCTGGCGTTGGCGTGGAAAGGTCAGTCGTGGGCCTCGTGGAAAGGTTCAGTCGTGGGCGGAGGAAAGGGTCAGTCGTGGCGTGAAGTTTCTATCTCTATATATATAGGGGTCATCGTTGAGCTTTAGAAAGGGGGTCGATCGGTGGTGTCCAACGCAGGTCGTGAGAAAGGGGTCCAGTCTGCTGGGGAAAGAGGTCAGTCGTTGGGCGTGAGGAAAGGTCAGTCCGTGGGGTGAGGGAAAGGCTCAGTCGTTTTTCGTTGCGGAAAGTCAGTCGTGGGGCTTGAAAGGGTCAGTCTGGGGTGGGAATAATTTTTTCGGTCTTTGTTTTGTCTATAAGGGTCATCGTGGGCGTATATATTATCTTTATCGGCTGTGAGGAAAAGGTCAGTCGTGGCGTTAGGAAAGGGTCATTCTGGCGTGTGGGAAAGGTCGTCAGTCGTGGCGCTGAAGAAAGGTCAGTCTGGCTTGAGAAAGGGTCAGTCGTGGGCGGAGGAAAGGGGTCAGTCGTGGCCTATATTATATTGCAGACGTGGGTGTGTAAGAGGGAAGGAAGGGGGAAGGGATTTGTTTTGATGTTAAGGGTCATGTCTGTGGGCGTTGGGGAAAGGTGTCAGTCGTGGGCTGTGTGGAAAAGGGTCAGTCGTGGCGTGGAAATGCTCATCGTGGCGATAATCGTTAGGAAAAGGGTCAGTTCGTGCTGGTGGGAAAGGTCTAGTTCTTAGTGGGCGTTGGGGAAAGGGTCCAGTCGTGGCATGGGAAAAGGAGTCAGTCGTGGGGGTGGAAAGGGCTCAGTCGTGGGCGTAGGAAAGGGTCATTCGTTGGTAAGCGTGGGAAAGTGTCAGTCGTGGGCGTGGGGAAAGGGGTCAGTCGTGGGCGTGAGGAAAGGGGTCAGTCGTGGGCGTGAGGAAAGGGTCAGTCGTGGCGTGGGAAAGGATCAGTCTGGCAGCTGTTTCGTGAGAAAGGGTCATTTCGTTGGTGGGGAAAGGTCAGACGTGCGTGTGTAAGAGGGAAGAAGGGGTCGATGTTGTGGGCGTGGGAAAGGCGTCAGTCGTGGCGTGGGGAAAGGGTCAGTCGTGGGCATGGGAAAGGTCAGTCTGGCGTGGGAAAGGATCTTATGCTGGGCGGTGTGCGAAAGGGTCCCAGTCTGGCGGGAAAGGGTCAGCGTGGCGTGAGAAAGGAGTTCAGTCGTGGGCGTGAGGAAAGGGGTCAGTCGTGCTTGAGAAAGGGTTCAGTCTGTGGGGCTGGGAAAGGGGTCAGTCGTGGGCGTGGGGAAAGGGGTCAGTCGTGCTTGGGGAAGGGGCACGTGGCTTGAGAAAGGGTCATCTGTGTCTGAAAGATTCAGACGGGTGTGGAAGAGTGGGAAGGAAGGGAAGAGGGGTGAGAAAGGGTCATCGTGGGGCGGGGTGGGAAAGGGGTCATCTTCGTGAGAAAAGGTCATCGTGGGCATGAGAAAGGGGTCAGTGTGGCGTTGGAAAGGGGTCAGTCGTGCCCTGGGAAAGGGTCAGTCGTGGGCGTGATTATAATCTGATGTTGGGCGTGAGGAAAGGGGCAGTTCGTGGCCTGGGGAAATGGTCAATAGTGGGCGTGAGAAATGTCAGTCGTGGCGTGAGGAAAGGGGTCAGTCTGTGCGTGGGTAAAGGGGTCAGTCGTTGGCGGTTATGATAGTCTAGCTGTGGTTGATGTAAGTTGTCACGGGTGGTGGAAAGGGTCAGTCGTGGCTAGTAAAGGGTCATCGTGGGCTGAGGAAAGGGGTCAGTCGTTGGGCGTATGAGGAAAAGGGTCAGTCGTGGGCTGGGGAGATTAGGGGTTTCAGTCGTGGGCTAGAAGGGTCAGTCTGGGCTTGAGAAAGGGTGTCAGTCGTGGCGTGAGAAAGGGGTCAGTCGTGGCGTGAGGGAAAGGTCATTCGCTGGGCGTGAGGAAGGGGTCAGACGTTGGTGTGGTATTATGAGGGGAAGAAGGGAAGGAGGGTTGGGAAAGGTCAGTCGTGGGCGGGGGAAAGGGTCAGCCTGCGTTTTGAGAAAGGGTGATCAGTCCGTGGGCGCGTGGGAAAGCGGTCATCGTGGCGTGATAAAGGGTC